CCACCCACCCGCCCACCTGGGAAAGTGAGGAAGGGAGTTCATTTGAGGGGACACAGGTGGACTTCTGGACACACGGAACTAGGGAAAGCACCAAAATAACCGGAAACATAAATCACACGTGACTATGACCACACCTCACTATGACCTCACCTATGATCAGACCTGACTATGACCTCCACCTATGATCACATCTACGATCCATGATCCACACCTGGGAATTCATCTGAGGGGACACAGATGGACTTCTGGAAAGGTTGACATCCGGGGGCCCACGGATGGAGACCTGGAAACAAACCACACCTGACCATGATCACACCCGCCCATCCAACCACCCGGAAACATAAACCATGAACCATAAACCACACCTGACTATTACCACACCTAACTATGACCACACCTCACCATGATCCACACCTCACTAAAACTAAACTAAAGAAAGCACCAAAACAACTGGATGTACACAAACATCTAGTAACTCCAAACCCCAGGTCCTCACCATAAACAGTAAATTAGTTTATGGCGCATCAATGTTACAGACACTTGAAAAAACAATAAGTTGATTTAACCATATCTGGTTAGACACTGCGACTCATTTTTAATCAGAAGAGACATTCTCCAGTTATTTCAAACAAACACATCGTCACTAAAGTTGACTAGAAGAAGCATTTTCCAGTTATTGCACAGAATCCAAAATAATGCAACGTTTCCATCTATTTCATGCAATGCATCATTGAAGATTGATGCAGTTAACAATTTTTATATTTAAAGCAGTGGAAATTTTAATTCTGTATGGAATGTACGACTTCAATGGCATTAATGGGTTATTTTCAAATTCGAAAAAAGCTAGGGGACAATAAGTCCAGTTACCTGGATCAAGAGCCCCTCACCAGCATAAGGGCAAAATAATGGAATTAGTTGAAATAACAATGTAACAATCTAAGTATGATAAACGATTATTTAAATTTTGAAAGTTAGCTGAGGAACTTGTCTCCACCTATCACACAGAAAGCAATCAAGGAATTGCTTATGTATCATTGTACATAGGGTGGGATGGGGAAGATACTAATTAAATAAGCAAGAGTAAATAAGAACATAACATAAAAAAGGAGGAACACTGCAACAGGCCTACTGGCCTGTGCGAGGCAGGGTCCAATTCTCCACCAGCTTTAAGCCATCCGACTAGTAGCACAAAGTAGTCAGAGTCCCAACTCTCACCCACCCACACCATCATGTATTTTTCCAACCTATTTTTTAAAACTACACAAGGTCTTAGCTTCTATGACGGCCTCGGGTATTTTGGTTTCACTCATCAAACAGTGCTTTCTGATCTGGAATTTTTCCAGTTTTAAAAAACATTGCTGACGAGACGGTCTATGTTATTTTTAGACACGCTGTTTACATCCACTTTATTTAATTCCTGGTTTCATTTACTACAACGCTAATTCTACGCCTTTCTGGTAGAGTGCAGATTCAGGTGACCAAAAAACTGGCAGCATAATCTAAATGAAGCCTAACCAAAAGATATTTGGAATTGAAGTAACACCTGAGGACTTCATTATTTATACTTCCTGTTATGAAGCCAAGGATTCTGTTAATTTTATCGCGAACACTTATGCGGATGGTTATCTTGGTTTCAGATTACTGGCTAAACCAGAACTCTTAAATGCCTTTTCGCAATCCGTAATATTAAGATCTACATTATTTAATTTACATGTGCATGGTTATTTTCCTTTGTCCAACATATGTCTATATTAAACTGCATCTGCCACTTCTCCGACCATTGCATCAGTCTATTCAAATCATCCTGGAGAGCTCTAATGAACTGGACGGCCTATTTTGGTGTCATTTATGTCGTTTATGTAGAATGTGAACAACAAGGGGCCCATCACGGACCCTGTGACGTGCCCCATTCTGATTTCTACATTTATGCAAGTCTTTGCTGCTTTTTGTAAAACATGCCTCTTACCCAGGAAAAAATTTCTTCCTATTCCGTTGTGCTTAAGTTTCCTCAATAGCCTCTGGTGTGGAACTCTATCGAAAGCCTTACTGACGTCATTTAACACCAATTTCTATTAATACCCATGATCTTCACTGAAATACCTTTAGTGAAGAAATTTAGTAAATTCGTTTAAGACAGGAACGCTCTTAGTAAAACCGGCTGAGATTCATTAATCAAATTTTTTTTGCCTTTTAAGATGGCTACGAATTGCTTCGGCAATTATTGATTACTTAAATTTTCCAACTATGGAGTAAGGCTTAATGAATGCATATCGAATAGTAAAATTAAAAATAATTCTGCATAACAAGAGAGTCGAGAGCCAAGCTCATGAAAGCAGCGGTGTCCCTCCAGGCAGTATATAGTGTATGCATTGAGTATATAGGCAATAAACATCGAGAAAGCAACCGTTCAATTATATCAATAATTATCACTCTAGAGTACGCGGTTTACGGCACGTTAATAGCCTGTAAAACATCTTATTCCTACACTTGAGAAACGTTTCGCCTACACAGCAGGTTTCTTCAGTCAAATACAGAGGTAGCAGGTGAAGTAGCGAAGTGAAGATGTAATCAGTCCATCAGTCTTGGAGCAAATGTATCTGAGGTTTTCAGATATTAGAGAGAGACGAGAGAAATACATGTGTCGTGGTTATCGTGTGTTGTGTGTGTGTGTGTGTGTGTGTGTGTGAATGTACTTGTGTACTTTCGTATTTACTTGTGGACGTTCAGTGTCGTGCATATAGGAAAAATAACGAATTTCAAGCGAAAAAGAAAGCTGATAACTTTTTTGAAGTAGATTTCTTGGTGAGAAGACGTAGAATCCAAGGAACACATTCTATTACACGATTAAAAAACGCTCACACATACATTATAAGCTTCATTAGTGCAAAACTAAACAAAAATTACCTGAATACGTTATGAAATATAAATAGAAGTCCGAGGCCAACCTTACACCACACCTCACACATACACACACCGCCACTCACCCTACTGCCCACACACCCACCAACACCGCCCACCTGGGAAAGTAGGAAGGGATTTCTTCTGAGGGGACAACAGTTGGACTTCTGGGGACAACACGGAACTAGGGAAAGCACAAAACAACGGGAGTGGGAAATGTGGAAGGGTTGACACGGGGGCCCACGGTTTGAGATCTGGAAAATGAAACCCACACCGGACTATGATGACACCCATATACACCACACCGCCCACACTCCGCCATGATGACACCCCAAAACACACACCCACACACACAACACACACACACACTCAACACACACACACACACAACCCGCCCACCCCAACAAATCCACTCACCCAATCACCCACCTACCCAACAAACCAACACCTCGGGAAAGTGGGAAGGGAGTTCATCTGAGGGGAAAAAGGTGGATTATCTGGACACACGGATATTAGGGAAAGCACAACAACCGAGAGTGGGAAATGTGGATAGGGTAGTTGACATCGGGGGCCCACGGATATTGAGATCTGGAAACATGAACCAACCTGACTATGATTGACACACACAACACACCCGCCACACCTGCCATGATGACACCCCCGTACCACCCGCCACCCAAAAATCCACCCACCCATCCACTCACTACGAACAAACCCACCACTGGGGAAAAGGGAGGAAGGGAGTTCATGGAGGGGACAAGGATGGACTTTTTGGGCACACGAACTAGGGAAATCACATACAACGGGTAGTGGGAAGCGTGGAAGGGGTGACATCGGGGGCCTCGGATGAGACTGGAAACATGAACCACATGATGACCGCATATCACCTTCACTATGACCACACCTCACCATGAACCCACAGATAGACTTCTTGGCACACGGACTAGGGAAAACATCAATAATACCGGTAAGTGCGAGAGAGGTGGAAGGGTTGACAACCGGGAAACCCAGGATGGTAGGCCAGGAAACATAAGGCCACACCTGACTAGGACCTCACCTATCTATGACCACACCTGACCATACCACACATACTATGACACCCCACTTTGATCACTCTACGACCACACTCCTCATCATGATCCACACCTGGGGTTCATCTGCGGGGACACAGATGGAACTCTGGACACACGGAACTGGGGAAGGCACCAAAATACGGAAAAGTGGGAAGTGTGAAGGGGAAACAGTGGAAACCTGAACCAACCTGATATGACCCACACTTTCTCTATGACCTCATTTAAGGTTTGAGCTGATCACGCGGTCATTCCCTTAGGAAATCTCAAGCTGTGTATTAATAAGGACAACAATAGTAAAATTTTTCGCATCGTCAACAATATTTGAAAACATTTTTTAGTTTTTGATTAAAAAATGAATATACTACAGTATATTATAAGTCAACCGGGTCCATGATGAGTTTTTTTTTCAAGGGTTCTAAGGAATATGCAAAATGGAAGTCTGTGAAACCTTAAACTAATATTTTTAATTTATCTCTTCAAAACAGGTCTGATATGTGGAGATGGTCTAAAGTAATTCCTATTTTTAAAACACGGGACAGTCGTTCCGTCAAATTACGCCATAGCCTGTCTTCAATTGGTAGGCAAATTACTAGAGTCATTATAGCTCAAATTATAAGAAGCCATTCGTAAGTTTAGCTTGTTTCATGATACTCAAACATGGATTCAAAGAGGCCGGTCTTGTTTAACTAATTTATTAACTTTCTTCAGTAAAGCTTTTTGAGGCTGTTGACCCACGATAAAGAATTTGAATATTATTTACTTAGATTTTAGTAGGCATTTGCTAGAGTTCCGCCCACAAAGACTGTTGAAGGAAAGTAGCAGCTAAATGGCATTGGGGGAAGGGTGCTCTTCGTGGATCGAATCATGGCTCACGGACAGGAAGCAGTGTGTCCATAAAATGGGGTGGTTAAATCGAGTGGGTTCAGTAACAAGTGGTTCCACAGGGATAGTCTTGGGCCGTTGTTTAAAATATCATTTCATGATCTTGATGAAGGAATTACTAGCGATATGAGCAAATTCGCCGATGACACGAAGTATAGTAGGGATATTGATTCAAACGTAGATGTTAGGGTACTTCAAGAGAATTTAGACAAACTCTACTCTTGGTCAGAAAAGTGGGCGATGCAGTTCCAATGTAGATAAATGCAAGGTTTGTAGCTCGGGACAGTGTCCATAAAACCCTAGGCACTTGTAAGTTAAATAATGTAGAACTTAGCCATACAGATTGCGAAAAGGACTTGGGGGTATTGGTAAGCAGCAACTTAAACCAAGACGCAAGCTACGCGTACGTAATAAGGCAAATAGTTTACTGGATTTATATCATGAAGTGTAAGCAACAGAAGTCCAGAGGTCATACTGCTTCTTTATACATCATTAGTAAGGCCTTCACCTAGATTATGCGCAGCTCAATTCTGGTCTCCATATTACAGAAGGGACATAAATATTCGGTTAGAAAACATTCAGCGTAGGATGACTAAATTAATACATAGCCATTTAGAAAATATTCATTATTGAAGAAAGGATTGACGACTCTTAAGTTACATTCACTGTTAGACGAAGAATGAGGGGAAGGACCTGATCGAAGTGTATATGTGGAGGAAAAGCGGTATTAATGAAGGGGATATTAACAAGGTCTTGCGGATATCTCTCCAAGAGAGAACCGCAGTACTGGATTTAAATTAGATAAGTTTTAGATTTAGATAAAGGACATAGGAAAGTATTGGTTTGGAAATAGTGGTAGTTGATGAGTGGAACGTCTACCTAGTTGGGTTTTGAGGCTAGGGACTTTTATGTAGTTTTCAAATTTTGGTTGGATAAGTACATGAGTGGGAGGGGTTGGGAATTGGTGGGGACTTGCACATCGAGCTTGTTTCTTGGGTGGCATGAAAATGTTGGGTTGGTCAAATGTTTGTTAGTGGGATTGAATTGTAAAGGACATGCCTAGTATGGCCAACAGGCCTGCTGCAGTGTTCCTCCTTATCTTCATGTTCTTATATAGACTGTTCAATATTTGACTACTATATGTTACGAACATAGTTGGTCCCGGGTTATAGTGGTTTTCGTAACTAAATTAACTTAGTATGTCTAGGTCTTCACTCGGTGAGGGAAAAATGAATTTTTTGATTTCTATTTAATTTATTTAATAATATAATCACTTAAATCACCTTCTCATATTTTGCCTTTTCTCATTAAAACATCACAGTTACTAGGTCAAGTTAGTATTTAACAAATGCTCTGGAGTGAGTCACGAAATTTTAGTATTGTACATGCACAGGCGTTGCTTAAAAACCGAACACATTAATAGATTTCTTATAATAGGGTGCACCTTTACAATAAACCCTCTTACACTACCGAAGCTTGCTTCACTTTCTCTAAGAGTCTTAACCGCCCTCCTTCCACCCGAGATAAGTCTTAGCAATGAGTTCCCGAGAATTCTGGGATTTCGTATGGGAGGCGAATGGTGGTTTTTGTGGTGGATATCCCCTAGACCCTTCCTGGTGCAGAGGTAGTATGAAACTGAACTCAGTGAGGCTTTACAGCCACTTTGACTCGGTTCGGAGCAAGGGTTGAGCAGCTCAAAACACCTACTGGTGCTTGGCCAGGTCACCGCAAGGTGACACTATTAAACAAACCTACCTATATACAAAGCTACGTAATACGACCAGATAATATTTATAGTCGAGTAAATCCATTTTAGCTACTTATGGATTACTTCTGAATTAATATTAGGTGAAATAAAAAAATACCATTGTGATAATAAAAAATAGAAACAGTCTACTTAAAATAATAAAAGGGTGTAACACCATAATTTTTTGTGACATTTCCTCCCGACCACGGTGGGTGGGGTTGGCTCGGCCCCCCTCTAACGTTTTCAGGCGACTACCTTAGTTCTCCAACCATTGAGAATAGGATGCGGTCTTTTACCACATGGCGCGCAGGCTACGGCCAAATACGTCACAAATGTTTTTGAAGCGGGGTGGATAATATCAAGAGACCATTATAGCCGTCAATTCAGCGTTCGTACGTCTACATGATGTATCACGACACTACACATGGGTTAAAATAAGGAATGTGCCTTTTGAGGCGAATGAATTTGTTATAAAAGATGAACTACGTAATTATGGTACGGTTCATATGGCCTCTGCAGGTCGGTGGGCCGCTGGACCTTATGCTGGAAGTTTGGAGGGAACATATTCAGTCAAAATGACCTTACGGCCCATCCCATACCGTCCTATATTATGTTGCAAGCATTTCGAACTCAAGTATATGTAACATATGCGGGGCAACGTCGTACGTGTCAGCTGTGTGGATCGTATGACCACATAGCGGCACAGTGTGCTAAGCGTCGTGGGAATCTCCAAATATCGCAACAGCAACAACCGGAAGAGGTCGAGGAAGTTGAGGGACGAGAACAGTCTTATGCTCACCCGTCTCGACAACGGACATCTTGGAGTGAAGAGGTAGAAAAAGCGCAGGAGAATGCTTTGGAGGATGCAAAACAGAGAGAAGAATCACCATCACTGGACATAAATAAAGTATTTGAAGAGACTCTGCCCACTATGGGGGACGAGGATGTAGCGGCGTCTTTAGTGAAGGCACTGGATGTATTGTTAGACGAGTCGATCGTCAACCGTGTGGAGGATCCAGGTGCAAATTTGGGATCGGTTGAGCATCATGGTGAGGCGACGGATGAAAGCATTGAGTCTGGGGTTTCGCATGGTATGATGGTGAACATAGCAGAAGTGGAGGTGCATCATGATAGTACTAAAGAAATCCCAATGCAGGTGGAGGGTAGGACGCGAAAGCGAACTGCGACCCCACCAGACTCAAACGACGTGCTTACTCCTGCCCAAAGGCCAGGGAAAAAGTCTTGGGCGGATGTACAGAGGAAAGGGAACAGTGAATCCACGAAACAAGAGTTTATCAAGGTGATTCCCAAAAAAGGGGAGAGGGATAGAGGTGTAAAATGTATAAAGTGAAAAGTCTATACCTAGAACCAAAGGAAAATCCCATTAATTGACTTTAAGGTTTTGACAATAAATATTAACGGTTTGAGATCTGAGCGGAAGCGAAAGTGGTTTAATGAATTTTTGGTGCGTCTAGATGTGGATGTGGTATTTATCCAAGAACACAATTACAGAATTGGATATGAGTTAGAAATAGATGGTTACGATGTGTATATGGAATATGCGACGAGGTTAAAAGGAGGCGTCGCCATTCTGGTAAAGGAAAATAGCCCGTTTGTAGT